TATATATATATATATATATATATATATATATATATAGATGTGTGTGTGTGTGGGGTTTGCATAAGGTTGAAACCTTAAACAATCCAATTAAAGTGGACCTCTAATTTCGATCATAAATGAAATTTTGATACAAAAAATTCTCAGGATGGCTTGAGAATCTATATTCATCTCTAGTTATAAAATTTTAAACTCTAAAAATAGTTCAAATTAAGTAGATCTATAAACACATGAAAATCTTGTAAATGAACGGTTTAGATAATATGTTGCAAAATACACTATTTCATAGACTCGAAATCTTTTTTTCTTTTTATATTCATACATCTCGATGTCGAGATAATCAATTATAGGATTTTTCAACGTCCAAATAGCTTTTTAAGATAGATTTTTGAGGTGCACCTTTAACTCTACATTTTAAGGTTGCAAACTTTTATATATATATATATATGGAGAGAGAGGAAAAGGGGGGGGATAATTTTCGAAAAAGAAAAACGATCATTTTTTTATGATGCATGAACTCTCCCCCGGGTTCTTCGAATGCTCCTCTCGCAAACTTGAGTCTCCTGTTCACAATTATTATTACATTACATTATATAAAGGAGTCATCAGAAGCCAACAAAAATCACAAAATCCCATGGTAGAGACAAATAGAAGAGACGTAAAATTAAAGAATACGACACGTTGAAAGATATAGTAGTAGAAGAAATGTCAGCTCTCTCTCTCTAGAGTTGTAGGAGAAACGTCAGTCCTCCCTCTCTCTCTCTCTTCAGCAGAAAAATGTAATGGCCAAGACAGTGTTTCTCTGAGTCCTTTGTACTTAACAAGTGATCCGAAAAACAAGGGAAATTGTCATGGTACCCTTGTCTTTTAGCCTAAACCCCTCGTTGATGACACCAGGGACTGATGCTTCAGGTGGGTTTCACGAGGGATTCCCCTAAAAACTCTCTCACTCTCTCTCTCTTCTTTCACTGTAATTTTATAAATCTATCCCACCGACCCGCCCTCTCTCTTTGGCCTTTGACTTAATTTGGTGGATGCGGTTTTCATAGAAAGAGAATCCATAAGCATCCAACGACAGGAGACAGGAAGAAAGAGGTGTAGAATCACCCTTTAAACCAAGCAAAAACAATGGGTAGGAGACACGAGGATGCAGCTTTTCGACCCCTTTCTTCCCTTTCCCCTTAGACAATCCAAAAACAAATCTGTAATATGCATGGACTGCCCTCTCTCACTCTCAAGGAAGAAGATAAAGTATGCATGGATCTCTCTCTCAAAATATAATGTGTGTGGACCAGTGTTCGAAAAATCAAACCCGCCTTACCAACTGGCCAAAGCCCGGATTCAAGTAACCGGTAAATTAGCCAATTCAATTGCCCTAACCGGATAGGTCTTGGCCAATCCAAAAAGTATTAAAAAAATAAAAAATATGAAAATTAAACAAAGCACATCCAAATAAAATCGAAAAGTAATAAAAAATTAAATTTTAAAAAAATCGATTTGATTCGAGGGCATTTTCAAAATTTTCTGAAAAATATTGAAAACAGTAAAAATAAGTAATTATAGCTATAACACTTTTCAAGCTTTGTCAAAATGATAATAAATATTCAAAAATACACATACAAACAAATCCCTTATTTTAAAAAAAAGTTATATTTTTTTTGGAAAATTATAGAATACCTCCCTAAAATCAGTTTTCTACACATCTTACTTCCCAATACCTTTTGTATTATACCTTAAACCCCAACACTATTTTTCTTTGTCTTTACCAGTTAAATAATTAATGCATTTTGGGATAAAATTGCCATTTTTTCTCTTTCTTCCTTTTTTTTTTTTTCCCTCTTTTTCCTTTTAATCACATGACCCTATCTCTTACTTTCTCTCTCTACCTTGCTCCACCTGTCTCTATCTCTTTCTCTCTCTACCCTCCCTCACCGTTTCTCTCTCCATTTTTTTTTTTACAAATCTTTTTTGTGTTCGACAAGGAGTGTGCCATACTGCATTATGGGTAAAGAGGGTTACTGGAATATAATGCAGTCCGGACCGCATTATATGAGGATAAAATTCACTGGAATTTATGCGGTCCAGTCTAGCACATTCATTACTGAACCGAAATTTTTTTGTTCCAGATCGCATTATGTTGTACCGGACCGCATAAATTCCGGTAAGTTTCTCACATAATGCGGTCCAACATAATGCTTGAGGGACCGAAAAAAAATAGCAAAAAAAAAATGGACAGAGAAACGGTGAGGGAGGGTAGAGAGAGAAAGAGTGAGGAAGGCTAGAGAGAGAAAGAATGAGGATGGATAGGGAGAGAAAGAGAGAGGATGGGTAGAGAGAGATAGAAAGAGAAAGTAAGGAGAGGGTCATGTGATTAAAAAGAAAAAAAGCAATATAGTTTTGGAGTTTAGGGTATAATACAAACAACAGTGGGTAATATGCATAGAAAGTCGATTTTGGAGGGTATCTATAATTTTTTTTTTTTTTTAAAATTTTGTAACATACCTGGCCAGACCACCACAACTAAATCGACTAGTACTTGATTCCGGTTTTACCGAGTATGGACAGACCACCAATGCCTCTCTCTCTAACTCTCCCCCCGCCGTACCCCTCCCCTTTTTTTCCGATTCTATGCGGGATAAAAGAGCTACACCGTATTCCCTCAAGGTCAAATTACTCACTTAGTTCACTTCAAATTATGTGACACCCTTTTGAATCACTAAACTCGTATATTAATAAAGAAAAAATAGGTTTTAAGGTCCTAACCCTAGGACCATGTTTATTCTATGTTGTTTGTTTCTAAAGTTTTTGCTAAGCTGAAGACCTTACATGCTGGACAGTTTTTGTTTTTATAGATTAATGGTGGGAATAGACAATAAGATGTTATGTTGAGGCTGCTAGACAAGGTGAACACGCAGTTTGCTCCTGCAGGAACAAAATAGCTAATCTTTTGGCTGCAAG